CAACATTTTGAATATCACAGACAAAAGGCTATTTCTTTGTGATAAGGAGCTATTAAAGTCATCGAGAAATGTATTAAACCAGCAAAGAAAACACACAAACAGAGGAAATAACGTGAAGATGGCCGTAAAATGAAAGGATGCTTCGTGCTCAAACTCAGAAAAACACAGACCTACCAGATTAGCTAAGTTAAAAAAATGTTTGGGGGATGAGAAGATGGCTTAGTCAGCCAAGCGTCTGCTGTGAAAGAATGAGAAACTCCGGAAAGAGTTCAGATCCCCAGCACCCACACAAAAAGATGGGTGTGCTGGAGCATGCCTGTGATCCCAGTGTCAGGGAGACACACACAGGACGACCTTGGGGTTGCTAGCTGGCAAGTCTAACTGAATCGATGCGTTCCCGGTTCAGTGAGAGTCCCTGGAAAGCATGGAGGAAGATATCCAGCGTTGACCTCTGGCTTCTTACCCCACATACATGTGCATGCACAACCTTCATATGCATGTACATGCACACATATGCAAAATGTTTAATGACCAACAGTCTAGGAAAAGAGGTGGGAAAGCAAGCAACCCACGTTGCTAGTGGAAGTGTAATGGGTGCGACTTCAGAGGAAGGCAATTCGGCATTATCGGAATGCTCTGATCTAAGACACTGCTTTCAGAAGTCTCCTAGTAGGTTTAAATGAACGTAAACTGACTTGTTTACAACGTTACGGCAGCACTGTTTGTTGTTCAAAAGATGAGAAACCACCTAAACCAAGATGGAACTGGAGAAAAGGCTAGGTACCTATTTAAACAAAGGAATATTATGCAATTAAAATAAAAATTTCAGTTAATTTTTTTTCATATGATTAAGAAGTTGTCAGGAAATACATATTTAATGATAACAAGACAAGAATACGTGTGTATTTTCTGTATAGGCTAGTTTCTACAGATAGGTAAAAGAAGGAATTTATAGGTATGTACTTGTGAGTGCTTACACTGTTAAAGAATTACATTCTTAGCCGGGCAGGGTGGCACATGCCTGTAATCCCAGCACTCAGGGAGGCAGACACAGGAGGATCTCTGAATTTGAGGTCAGGAGGGCTACACAGAGAAACCCTCTCAACAAAACAAAACAAAATAACAATAAAATTACATTCTTGGGGCTGGAGAGATGGCTCAGCGGTTAGGAGCACTGGCTCCTGATTGACCAGGTTCAATTCCCAGCACCCATAGGGCAGCCCACAGCTATCTGTAACCCTAGTTCCAGGGGATCTGGCACCCTCACACAGATATACATGCAGGCAAAATAGCAGTGCATAAAATGAACAAACAAAAAATTACGTTCTTTGTCAAGAGGACTACCAAATAGAAAAATCACCACATATGGACAAATTCTTTATTTGAAAAAAAAATGAGTAGAAATTATGAGATTATTTGGTAGAAAGGACACTGACCCTTATTTAACTGAGTCATCAGTTGAAGAAACTCTTTAGGGTTGGAGAAACTCTTTAGGGTTGCTTCTGGAATCTGGATTTGATCTTGAGATAGATTAATGAAGCTTGTCAGTGTCTCAGTCCACTCACGGCATCCAGTTGGCATCAGCAGAAAAACCCTGACTCTATCCAGGAAAGGTGATTGAGCTGCTGTGACCTTAGCAGTGTCACATGAATCGGCAGCGTTCAAAGGCTGGCCACCTCAGAGGTGAACTAAACAGAGCTGGAAGGTAAAGAACTTCCTGGAAGGCTGGGCTGGATCGGGATGCCACGCGTAGTCAGTCTGTTTCATGCTGTGTGGAATTTATGGAACTGTTCCAGAGAGGAGTGAGGTACGGAGAGAGAGAGAGCATTCGTGTTCACTGTACTAAAGTTGCAAGGAACACAAGGACATCACGTAGGAAAGCAAGCTGGTCCAGGAGCCTGTCGCGGGGTCAGGACTGGGAAGCAGCGCCACCTACAGGCAGAACGCCCTGGTCCTGAGGCTCCCCAAGACTGCAAGGCTGGGGTGGGAGAGAGGGTACCTACCACTGAAGGCACCAGAACTTGCTGATGCTGAAGTCCTCCCAGGAATGCAGGGCCGAGGTGAGTAGGGAGAGTGGAAGAGAGGCCCAAGAAGTGAACACCTTTCTAAATGTTAAAAGGCATTGGCTTAAGAGTATGACTCCATCCTTGATCATTTTGGTGCTTTTTTGTATTTTGCCTGTAAGAAGTGTAAATATACCAAATTCTAGTTATGACCAGTAATCTCTTGGGTTTGGCTAATGACATCAGATTGCATCCTTGGTTCTTGCTAAATGGAGTTGTAAAAAAAAAAAAAAAGAAAGAAAATAGCAGTTCATAAGTTAAAATATATCATCTGTGCAAACAGGCTACAGCTAACTATCAATGGGCTAGGGACAAGTGCTGAGTTTGCGCTGCACGCAGTTTCCTTTCTTTCTCTCTTGGTCTATGTGGCTTACCTTTCCCAGAGATTTTAAAGTCATGCTGAGAGAAAACTGCTGAGCAGCCAGTGCTGAGCAAGGCTCTCACTCTTGAGAACCTTTTCAAACCTTTCTTTTGGCTGTCATGTGTCAGTGTGTCCATAAAAGGCTCCTGGCATGATCTCACAAGTCTCCAAGGACCGAGGTCTGGGGATTCTAGAAGAAACCCCAGGCCTCACTTCTCCTAGAAACAACTCTCTTCCCCAGTCAGAGCAAGCAGCTTGACCTAACGGCAGAGATGTAGGTGTCAGGTGGTCTGATGTTAGCAGACCGAGCTTCAGGTCTGGAGGTAGTGTCTCATGAACAGGTGGGCTTTTCCTTTTAATCTTCCTGTCCCTGAGATTCTTGGCTTTGAAAATAAAAAGTCACACTATCACACACCAGCAATGTCGTCAGTGTCCTGCTGTATTTTACAGAGCCGGCATTATATTCATACAAAACCAGTGTTAACTCTGGGCTATCCAGACCACTAGTGTCTCACTAACAAGACACCGGAGGTCAACGGGAGACACAATCAACCATCTTAAAGATGAAGAATAGAGAGTAAAAACCACCCTAAATAATGTATTTGTTTGTTTATATGTGCACGTGTGGGCATAGACATCTGTGCATGCGCACCACTGACAGCCCAGGAGCTGGGGCTGCAGGTGTTTTTGTGGGCTTCAGGCTTGTTCCCAGGTGCTCTGACTGGAACTCCAGGCCTCATGATTGTACAGGAAGCACCCAACTACCGATTCAGCTGCTAGAATCATCGTAACGAACAGCTCTTTATTGCTAATTTAAGATGCTTTTCTTTCTTTAAAAAAAAAAAAAAAAAATTAGTGTGTATGAGTGCTCTCTCTGCATGTACACTTGCATGCCAGAAGAGGGCATCAGATGCCAGTATAGATGGCTGTGAGCCACCATGTGGTTGCTGGGAATTGGACTCAGGACCTCTGGAAGAGCACACAGTGCTCTTAACCCCTGAACCACCTCTCCAGCCCCTAGGATGCTTTTCTTATAAAACTTTTTTTACTGTTATGAAAGGCTATAACCATGAGATATGATCAAATATTTATTTGGCTAAAACCAAAACAAAAGCCAGCCTCTGTAATTTTCTGTCTTGAATGCGGAGGTACTCCTTATAGAGTGGGATCTGTTTAGTAGATTTCACTGCCTAGAATTTTACTTTGTTGAAATGTTAAGGCCACAAGGGTAAACTAACTCTTCAATATTTCATTCTTCTGTTTATATCGCTTGGAGCCTCTGTCCTTGCCATCCGTATAAAGCTTCTACCACTGGCTACATTGTCAGCTCTTGATTTTCTAAGACAGCTTCTTGCTGGCTACTCAGGCAGGCTGATGATCTGCTTGCTTCAGTCTCAAGTGTTGAGACCTCCAACTACTCTGTTTTTCCCTTAAAAAAAAAAAAAAACAAAAAACGGTGAAAACAAGCCTGGCATGGTGTGCACACCTGTGGCCCCAGGTGCAGGCTGGGGCAGGACTGCTGTGAGTTTGAGACTAGTCTCCACTGAAAAGAGAGCTCATTTCTCAACACCAAACAAATGAACCTAAGCACAGAGATTGAAGTAGAAGAGAAACAGGTAGAGATCTACTTTTGTGGAGCCGGAAGATGGCGCAGGGTAAAGGGTATGCCGCGACCTAGGTTCAGACAGTTAGCACCCAAGTGTGTAATCTCAGCGCTGGGGAAGAGCGACAGGAAGACCCCCCAGCACTTTGCTGACGAGTCAGTCAAGCCACTGGTAAACTCCATGTTCAGTGACTCTCAAACCAGTAAGGTGGAAATGCAATAAAGACCCTGACATTGACTTCTGGCCTCCACATACACTGGCTCCCACATGGGCAAAGAGGAACCACCTGTGTGCAAAAGTACCTGCGGTCATTTACTATCCACTAGGGATGTGTGTCAGTTACTATGACCTAGACAGACACACTTGCTGAGCCCATTGTCTCCAATTGCCACCCAACCTGATTCAATTCCTGTGCTGTCCCGCTTGTCCATTTTTGGTATCTCCACTTAGCAGAGCCGACAGATTTTTACCGTATCCACTCCTGTGACCCAGAAAATGGGTCACGGAAACAGTATGAGCATGCTCACTTTGTTTCTAAAGTTCTAATGGTTCCATGGGAACCATTCCACACAGCCCCAGCAAAACGGGGTCCTTACAGGTCTCTGGTCTGCATAGGTCTCCATCAGCTATACCTGTCTAATGACTTATGAACTGCTTAGGTTCTCTTAGCCCTCACTTGAGTAAAGCAGGGTTAGGTGCAGCTGAAGGGCAGAGATACTGAGTAGACAGGTGTGAGGAAGAGGCCTACTAAGGGAGAGTTTAGAAGCCGAGAGTGGCTTGGCAGCTTCTAGACTCTGCTCCTCAAGGTCCCTGGCACTCAGAGGAGTCACATAAAGGCCTCTGCAATCATTGGTGGCTCTTCTGTTCCTATTAAGTGGCTTTACACGTCCTATTACGTAGACAACAGCAGCACCGGCACACCTTTCTCCTTAAGTAACTGGAGGTTTACAAGTATCAATTAAGAAAAAAAAATTATTCAACACTGACATTTTATTTTCTGAAGTTTATCATAATTTTACAAAACAGAACAAAACAAAAAAGCAGGTATCAAAAACAGCAGTTTATAGAATTTCTGCACTGGTTCTCCCCGCAGTCAGTGACTCTGGAACTGGTGTCTTAGGTAAAGCCTCACCAGGCTGATTCTCTCAGCCACGTGCATTCAGGTGGTTGGTTTCAGAACTACTTTGTAATAACTTTTTACAAGCACCGGTCATTTTTTGAGAACCGATTTGGTTTGTCCAACAAAGTAAACACTTTTTTTCTTTTACTGTGTGGAATTTTTCTTGCTTAAAAAACACTGAGCTGAAACACAGGTGTGTATTTGGATCAGAACCAAATTTTCTGAGATCCCTGTTACCTGAAGAACACTGAAGACATCATTGGGCATACGAAATGTTACAGTGAATACTTGTGAAAATGTCTAAGGCAGCTACCTTACTTCTGATCAAAGTATTTCATTCAGAGGCTGCTGGAGTTTGAATTTTATCAGTTTCAATGTCCTTTCTCTGACCAGGAATAGTTTCACCCAGACAGCCTTATTATCAGAAGAAAAACGTGATGTTTGTGCCAAAGAGGTTTTTACATTTTGTAAATACATTTATATAGAGCAAGACTCCTTGCTCTGGACCCTGGGTCACCACAAAGAGATTGAGAGGCCATGATAACTGGATGCTAACAGGACGTAAGACACTTACACTCATAGCATCATCTGGAGGTGAGCAGAAATAAAGCTGGAAATTGGTAGTGGGGCTTACCCACTACATGCTCTGGAAACACATTTTGCTTAAATAAGGGAAGTGTGGTCCAGTTTTGCAATGTTAGTAGCTGCCAGTCTCTTGTTTTTAAAAATAAAGATCACTTCCCGACGAGCAATGAGTTAGGAAATTGGCCTCAAATTTGATCAGATCTCTCAGAATTGGTTAAAAATAAAGTAAAACCATTAAATCAGCCAACAGTTAGAAATTGCACAATCAAACTTGAATATAAATTACAGAAGGGCATACATATTATTGATATGGGGTTCAAATAACCCCTTTGAAACAAAAATTTCTCCACATTACTTCAATTTTCATTAAAGGAAACTGATACATAATTTTCCTCTTTACAGATATGGAAAAGGAAGCAAGAAGGCAAAGCTGAGAGAAACAGAGGCTACCCACAGGGCAGCGGTGCCATTTGGTTGTTTTGGTCTTTGTACCAGCAACTCCCACTCCTATGAACGATGTCCAGTTCCAGCTGGACTACACTACACGGTTTTTCTTGCAGTCAAAACACGAACGATGGATCCTACTCCACCAGCCGCAAGTGCCTAAAACAAACCAAACACACAGAAAGGGTCATAAAGGAAAGTGTAAGATTAGGTTAAACACTGAACTTTTTAATTTAGCAGAACATTTCAGCATCATATATGAAGTGGTGTGAGTTATCTTATTTCCTGAGCATCCATTATGCCCAGGCAGGTCTCAGCACGAGACTAATAATCTTAGTATGAAGACTAAGGCATAACAAAGACCAACTTCTCAGGGTTTCTGTCTCTGTGAACTTCCTTCCAAATAGACACTAGTCACTATTCAAGCATACTGTGTCTAAATAATGTTTCAAGATGTCTGTAGAACAAGGTTTCTGATTAAAACAGGTATTCAGATATAAATTCAGGACATTCTCCATCTCTCATCCTCACTGTGGTTAGGAAGAACCTTAAATTGGGAAAAGTCAACCACTTAGTTTCCAGATTTTCCCCCTACCATAAGAAGATAATACTTAAGAGCTAAGAGCTGATGATCTCTAACTTTGAATCTCTGACTTTAATAACTGAGGGCCATGATTAAACATTAAAACTTGGAAAATCTGTTTTACTTTGGTAAAATAAAAAAATAAAATGAGTATCATGTGTATGGTGCTGGGAATTTAGAAGTGAACAAACATCCTTTGGTCTACCATGAGATAGTTTACAAGCAGAACATTTCAGTATCATGTATGAAGTGGTGTGAGTTATCTTAGAGTGCTTTAAAAGCAGAGAAAAAGCAAGTGATGCCAGGGGAACTGACAGACTGACAACAGGAAAGAGAATGGAAGTGTGAGGGTGGGCTGTATTCAGGGAAAAGGCTGGTAGGTTGGGTAGAAAACAGAATGGTACAGGATAAAACTGGTGGCAAACCAGTTAGGATGCTACAGCAGCCACCTTAAGATGCTGCAAAGGGTGCTAGAGACCTGCTGGCAGAGATGGACTCAAGAAGTACTTAGAAAGTCAACTCTGGAGATTAGAAAAACAAAACAAAACAACAAAACAGACAACATATGTACTACTTTCCTCGTCTACAAGAGTTTTTCCTTCTGGTATTTTTTTGAGGATTACAGGAGTGAATGCATTTACAAAGTTCTCAGAAGTATGTTTGGACTATAACAAGTTTCTAATTTATGCCACTGTGATCCTTAGACTATTCTGGACCTATGTCAGTTTGGGTGTTAGAGGTGGCTCTTCATCTACAAAAGATGAGAGCCGCGTGCTGGGCAGTGGTGGCACACACCTTTAGTCCCAGCACTTGTGTGGCAGAGGCAGGCAGATCTCTGCAAGTTCAAGACCAGCTTGGTCTACAGAGTGGCCAGCCAATGCTACATAGAGAAACCTGTCTCCAAAAACAAACAAACAAACAAACAAACAAACAAACAAACAAATATGTATATATAGAGAAAGACAGGTACACATTTCACAGAGCTGGTGAGGAATAACTAAAAGGTAAACAAGTATAGAGCCTAGCAAACACAGAGCGTCCCAAATAAGATGACCATATAAATGACCGCACAAGTTCCCTTCAGTGAAAGGGGCACTGTCCTTAGAATAGCACAGGCGCTATACTGGGAATACTGTGAGGAACACTATACTTAAATGCTAGCTCTTTGGTAATGTACATGAGACACAGTGAATTAAGTAAGGCTCAGCAAAAAATTTACTTTCAGTTTCATCTTTCCACTCAGACTCAAGAGAATGGTTTTAAAAAGAACTGACTTCCGGGTGCTGAGATGGCTCAGCACATTAAAAGTGCTTACTCTGCAAATCTGACATGCTGAGTCCAGTCCCCACAATCAACACACACACACACAAATCATACACAGGTTTAATGCTTAGCATCTGGAATGCCAGCATTTTTGAGAGATATGGCTATGTTGTTTACATTTTTATCATTATAAGAGCTAGGTATAAAAGGTTTCCTTACTTAAAAAAAAATTACACTTGTTTTGTGCATGTGCGTGCATGCATGTGCGTAGGGAGTAGGTTCTTTCTGTCCACCATGAGGGTCCCAGGGATTGAATCAGGTTTCAGGCTTGGTGGGAGGGAGTCTATCCAACTGAGTCACTTGGTTGACCCATCTACTAACTTCTTACACAGAATTAAAAATAACTTCCCTTTCTCTAAGACACAGCCTCCCAATACAGCATATAATACATTATATAGACCATGTTGGCCCAGGACGCCTCTCTCCAGTATGCTAGGGTTATAGACATGCACTACCATGCATGGCCAATAACACTTTTGGAAAAGCAAAACCACAGTGCTGTGAATCAAACCTTGGGAATGCTAGGCAAGCACTCCACCCTTTCTCCATGGTCCTTGGCAACTTCTAATAACTTCCTATCCCTTGGAGCTTGCCTATTTCTGATCTACGTAAAAACATAAAACACTTGTTCTTTTGTGTCTGGTGTACCTCACTTAGCAGAACACTTTCTAGGTTCACCTGCACTGTAACATGTATGAAAACTCAGTTCCTTTTCATGGATGAATAACATTCCACTGTTTGTATGTACCATACATCAATCCTTTCATCTGGGGTTATTTCTATTTTTTTGATCACTGTAAAAGAATTCTTGATTTTCTTTTGAAAAATTTTCTTGGAATTCATACTTCAAGTATGTAATTGCTATGTATTAAATATATACAAATAAATTTTATTTGGTGCAACTGAAATCTCTTAAGACCAAGGCTGGTAAGCAAATGTGAACTTTTCATTTTAATGGATTTGATTTGTAATAATAAGAAGTACAATCAAGTTGTTCTTCAAATGACAGCGGTATTATTCTCTACTTAAAGGACCCAGTTTTAAGGATGTACAATTTCTAACCTACCTTTTCATGCCACTGGAGTAACACAGCACTGCTATTGTCGGACGGGCTCTCAAAGCCTTTATAAATATACTTCATTAGGAGGTCCACACCATTCTTGTCCAGGGACTGAACAGCCTTTTCAATGTCATTAGCTTTAAAAGAGATGAGCACCTTCAAGACAATGCTGCCTGCTCGGTCCTGAGGGTAAACACATAACAAAATATTTAGGCACATGTATGCCAGGAACAAAATCTTAAGAAGACTACATTGGAGTGACATCTGAAGAATGACATGGTAGATGTGAAAGAAGACTCCTTGGGAATATGGCCAGTGTTTAGATAAAGCAAAGAACAAGTGCTGATGGCGTGGGTTTCAGAGATTTCAGAGTGTTCCAAAGATCTGCTGTGACAGAGCTGGGTGCTGGAGAAGCAGCAGAGGAAGTGAAAAGACACGAGAGACACATCATGTGAACGCCTGTAGGCAGCACTGTAGTGGCTCTGGCATTTACTCTGAAACAAGACAGTGGAGTTTTAGGAGCAGTGACACAATCTTTTAAGACTATTTGGTAGCTCTGTTGAGAACAGCAGTGAGGCAGGGGTAAGACCAAAGAAGAAGGACTTCCATTAGGGGTAATTGCAAGAACACAGGCTGGTTCTGGTTGGCATGATAGTAGAGGTGTAAGAAAGGAACCCATTCTTTTTGTTGGTTGTTTTAGAGACAGACTTCCACTGTGAAGCTATGGCTGCCCTCAAACTCACAGAAATCCTCCTGCCTTTGCCTTCCAAGTGCTGGGATTAAAGGTGTACACTAAAAAACTCCTACCCAAAGAAGGAAACTGAATTATAGAATTCTATCTTGTATTATCTTTCAGAAGTGATATTTTCTTAAAACTTTTTTTTTTCTAGGAATTGAACTCAAGACCTCTGAAAGAACAGCCAGTGCTCCTAACCCCTGAGCCATTTGTCTACCTGCAAAACCAATGTCACTTGCACTTTACTTAAATGTTTGTTTATGCGTTTTATGTGTAGGAGTGCTCTATTTGCATGTATACCTGTGTAACAGAAAAGGGCATCAGCTCTATTATAGATGGTTATGAGCCACCATGTGGTTGCTAGGAACTGAACTCAGTACCTCTGGAAGAGCAGCCAATGCTCGTAACCTCTGAGCCATCTCTCCAGCCCAAAGCTCCCTTTCAAAACCATTAATTTTTTTTTTTTTTAAGTTTCCTATCTACAGACATTAACTTCACCTCTGTTCATCTCTTATGCATCGTCTAGGCTCAGGGAACCCGTAACTGACCCTTTCAACGGTTCATTTCTCCTGTTCAACAGAGTGGTGCCTTCAGCATTGCTATGGGCAGGATTTTACAAGATGTTTCTACCACCACTTCCCTATTTAGGAAATATCTTCTTATCTAGAGCTATAACCTCCCATCCACATGCTGCCAAAAACAAACAAAACAAAATGAAAACCCCACAGAACACCAGAAGGGGTAAAACTGAAATTTTAATGATGTTCCTAACAACTTTTAAAAAGCATACGGTTTTGTTGCCTTGGTAATGATTATGCATTCACCTATTATTACTCAATTAAGGTTCTTGAGTTCCTGAAACATAGGCCTGTGGACCACAAGGCCTTGGTTAGCCTGCATTTTAAACAACAAACAAGCAGTCCATAAGAATTAGTGGAGGACTGATGTAGGGATGTAAGCTGCAAAGCTTTTCTGAAGGATTTGGCAACACTTTGTTTTTCAAAAGCCTTAAAAAAAATGTCTTCTTTGATCTAGCATTTATCTTCTGAGAACTTTATTGACAGAAATAAAGATTTACCTAACATTATTCATTTTGGCAAACTAGTTAATCTAATTTACACTAAAAGGGATCAGTTGTTTATAAAATGTCACATACTGGTATACAGCAATTAAAAGTGCTACAGAAATAATCTTATTAGTAAGGAAAGAAGCTCATGTACATTACTCAAGAGTTAAAAGTTTAAGATTTTTTTTGAGAATACAAAAAACTCTTTAAGTATGAAACTCTTTAAGTATACAGCAATACAAGGCAGTAACTGTGATCCAAAGAATGGCGAACACCCTTTTTCATGTCTTTGTTTTCTGTAATATTTAATATTTACAAAATAAAGAAAAACTTACAAGCAGAAGCCGTGTGTATTTTGGTAAAAACTACTTATTTTTCAAGCCTTTGTTTAAATTCAACCTCAGTGGATTTCTCCCAAAGCACACACAGTACTAATGTCTTCATCCTTTAAACTTACTGTGACCCACACAGCATTATCCTAACTCTACATTCCAATGTTATTTTTCATGACATTTTTACTTATCAAGGTGTCTTTTTAAGCTTATGCTTTTAGTCCCAGCAGAGGCAAGAGATCTCTCTGAATTCCAGGCCAGACAGGTTACACACTGAACACCAAGTCTCAAAAAAAAAAAAAAAAAAAAAAAAAAAAAAAAAAAAAAAAACATACTGTACACTCCTGTGTCAAGGACAGTAAATAGTTAAAATATTTGTTGACTGGGGTGTCAAAGGATTTTGATAACAGTGAGACACCAGCAGAGACTAATGTTGTAGTCTGCAACTCACCTTCACTGCCTGACTCTTTGTGTTGATAGGGGGATTTTTCAGGGCAGCCTGGAGAGCAGCTGTCATGTTTCCTGTAATGAAAGTTAAGGAGAGACCAGCCAGGGACAGCCCCTGCTTTACAGGACTATTGGTTCCTAAGACTTGACTTCATGAATAGTAACAAATTACTATGGCCACTTGGTTCAATATTGGAAACTGCATGCATTTGCTCCCAATATGTTAATCAAAGGTTAAAATACCGATGTTATGAGAATATAAGAAATTTTTTTAAAAGCAAAGATTGATCTGACCTTGGTTCTATCAATCAAATAGATCACACTTTCCTGTGAAATACACACACTCATCTAGATGGGTATTCAAGAAACCTTAAATGTGTGGAAGAATTATTAGGTCACCAAATGAGGCAGCCTATCAACTAACAAAGTATAACATCTTGTCTGTATGATTCTTAGTGCAAAACAACCCTAAACTTTAGAGTGAAACTCCAGTGTGTATTAAATGCAATGCAGGCAGATGACTGGCAGTCGGAATGGAAGAGGCAATAGCCTAATATTGATGAACAGAATGCGGTAATAACCCGCACGACCTGTAGGTGGCAGCTTACTTCGTTTCCTACAGGTTATTCAAACTGGGCTGGACCATCCACACCTACTCAGTCTCTGAGAGCAAAGTGAGTAAGCAAGCATGGGAAACAGGAAGGCCAATCAGACTGTCAGAACAGACAGTCATTTCCGTAAAAGGAAAACTACAGCGTCACTTGTTCCTCCATCTGTAGTACTCAACCAGGGCGCTCTCTCCTAGTTAAAGAGAGAGACAATATCTTTATATTTTAAGATAGATTGATGATAATGTTGACACAATTGCTGATGGTCACAGCAGTAGGAATCACCAGAAATTACCTAAAGTACATTAGTTTAATGAAACATAATATATCCATCTTTTTAAACAACGAAGAATGCTCACCACTTCTGTGGAAAAGGTCTAATAAAAATTATCTGCGGTCGGTGATAAACTGTCAACGCTGCATGGTCTTTTGAAGAACACTTTTTTTAAAGAAAAAAATCCTAAGTATTTAAATAAACAGGTTAGTAGCAACTGATGTGAAAGTTGTGGTAATAAAAGTTAAACCTATATGGCATATATATGTTCAATGCTATGGTTACCACTAAATATTTTTGCTCGAGGAAAGAGTTGTATGAACAGACAAGGCGATTTCTCTAAGGCTACAGTTTGGGTTTTTGCAACATTTCTATTTTCCCAAGAGACTGATGATGCAAATGATTTTCAAGGTTATGAATATGCAGATACGCAAACCGAGGAATCAGGAACTGACAGCCATATTTTAACTAGAATGGAAGCAATATCAGAAAAACGGTTTTGATTTATAGAACTGATTCATCCTCTTTAATTCACTGGGGGTTCATCTTAAATATTTCCAGGGGTTCTCTACATGCATTCTCTATCCTTTTCCTATTGGCCTCTTCTTAGCAGGGAAAAGGCTCCAAGCTTCCACTGGGAATTCTGGAGGAGAACACTCCCTCCGTCCCGTTAACGAATTATACGCAGCCTTGCCAAATCCTTTCAAAGGTGCTGCTGCTGCTGCTGCTGCTGCTGCTGCTGCTGCTGCAAAAGCTCATGCATGGGCTGACTGTCCGGAGGGCCTCAATCTGCGAACCGCTCCATCTCGCTAGGGATACACTAATCCCACCGCTCCTCAAACCACACACCCGACAGAAAAGCAGACTCGGAAGAGGGACGCCCGTGTCCCCACCAGGCAGGGATTTCAGGCGCTCAGGGCGCGGCCGTGCGCACCTGAGGAATCTGGGCGCCGGCAAGTTCACGGGCGCGGCCGCGGGGTCCAGGCGGCCTGCGGGCCCCGGGAGCGCCTGCCCCGCTTCCCCACCTGGAGCCGGGGGCAGCCGGCCGCGCGCCCCGCGTCCCCGCAGCCCCCGGCCGCCGCGAGCGCAAGGATATTGCCGCAGGCACGAGTCCACCTCGCCCTCGTCGGGCCCGGCCTGGCCATCGCCGCCGTCCTCCTCGTCCACGAACTTGTTCTCATCGTACTCGTCCACGTCCACCTTCCGGAAGCGGGCCGACGACACCGTGTTCTTCGACATCCCGGATCGCGACGCGACGCTGGCCTCCCCTCGGCGCTGCCTCTGCCTCGGCGAGCCCTGCCCGGCGCGACTCACTTCCCTCTTCCGCTCTGGGGCGTCGCCGGCAGCGGCTGCCTGCTCGCTTCTGGGCCTGCGCGCCAGCCAGCGCGGCTTCCTCCTCGGTCTGGAGCGATCCCTCAGTCCCCCGCTCCGCCTCCGCGTCCCCCGGGGAGCGCGCGCCCGCGAGGGAGCGCGCGGGACGCACCGCGCACGCGCGGACCCGCCGCAGAGAAGGGGCGGGGCCGCCGGGAGGGGCGGGGCCGCCGGGATAGGCGGGGGCGGCGGGCGGACGGAGGAGCTGGCTGGGGCGGCGCGGAGACGCGATTGGCCGCCGGGGAGCGTCACGTGACACCCCGGGGGTTCCCATAGAAACGCTTTTCTGCGGTCCAGCCTGGCGCGGGAGGGGAGAGGGGTCTGGGATTGGAGGCTATGGGGACCTCGGGCGCGTGGTCTGGACTGCTGTTGCCGCCGCCGCCTCTGGTGCCAGCGGCTTGTGGTTGGGGTCCGGTGTGAAGTCTGGGTGACCGGACTCGCGCGTGGGATGGGATGGGCTGGCTGCGGGACCTAGTAGCCTGCAGTCAGCAGGAGTATGAGGCGGCGTGATGCCCAGCACACAACTAGGGATCCGAGCCCTCCCTTCGGACCGAGCGACCCCGGGGGCTGCGTTCCCGAGCTGAGAGCCCCTTCCCGGGCTTGGGAGCTCCCCGACGGCGGGAGGTCCCCAAGGACGGAGTCGAAAGGTCACTTCTTACCTGTCAGTGCTGTGTGACAGCATCGCCGCTGGACCTGCAGGATCTGAACTCGGTAGTCTTTCCATCCGGAGGGAGGGAAAGATGCTTGGGCCGGGGCCGGGTGGCGAAATTGGGGCAAACTTGTAGCATCTTGTAGAATCAGTCATCACGTCTTAAAATAAGTAGTTATTTGGAGCAAGGATGCCAGAAGAGGGTGGGCGAGTTAGGCTCTTCGGTGCTGAGGGGAAACACCATGTGCGAGGATTAATAGAAACTGGACTTTCAAGGTTGGTATTTATGGTTTAACGTTCTTGGGAGCCGGTAAAACCAGCTTTTTGTTAGAATCCATATCCCCGTTTGAGAGATCAGAGCTTCTATCGAGGAGGTAGAGCCACTAAAATTAAAGAACTAACAGCTGTGCTCTGTGCATTATACTCCAGTACAAGTATTTATAGAATGAAATTAATTCGGACTCGTGGCTATGCCGTGCTTGGATGCAGGACTACCTGGTTTCACATACAGCAGGCGGCTGGAGGCTGTCCTGTTGAGTTACCTCATTTGCAGTGCTGTATTGAAAAAGAACGCTGGGCTTGGGATCACAAAACAGTGGCTGAAGTCTCGACTTCTTGCCCTCATGATCTGCGTGATTGAGGCACGTTGCTTTAAAACTGGAACCTCGGATTTCTTATTGCTAAAAATGGAGCTATTGTGCTTTTCACAAGAATGTTCCCAGGGTTCAGTCTGCGGAAATGCTTTAAAAAGACTAAAAAAATTCTGCATGTATGTGCAGTGTGTTACTGGTTTTGTAGCACTAGCTTCGTAAATCACCTAATGAAATGTCATGTTTTATCTTGCTGACGAAAGAGATCCCAATATTCTCAAAGGCAGAGTCTTCTGTATTTTTTTTTTCATGTGAAATAAGATTAGGTATCCAGAAGGTAGTCAGTAATGCTTGATGAGTTAGTGAAGTATAAAAGGCAGTACAGCTTGAGATTCACACTGAGAAACAGGGAATCAGTCAAAAGGAGGAGAAAGATCTCAGGATCAAACATTTGTTGACTATAGGCATACATGCATGTATCCACATGTGTATGTGTATGTAGAGAGAGCACTGTGAGTGAAATGGCACCCCTCCCAGTATATCTTCTCGTTGATAGAAGTGGATTTCCTTGATTAAGATTCACACTGTGAGCTGGTAAAAACGCTCATGTCTTAAGACAGCAAAGGAAAAATTCCTACCTGGCAGCAATACTTATTTTGAAAGTCATATGCTGAAATATAAGATCATTATTATAGTGATGGCATTATGTAACTTAGGATAAAGATTTGTTTCAATGTTTTTTTTTTCTGTTTCAATCTTGTGTAACTTCCATAAGAGCTGCAAAGCATAGTCTTTTAGATGTCAAAGCTGACTGTACTTTTTGTTCTTTTAAACTGAGATTTTCTTTGAAGAGAAAATTAAACATTACACACACTATTGAGTGCAAACGGAAACAAGGATTTAAGAGCTAACAGCCCTTTCTCAAGTCCTATTTTTTTCCTATTGTCTTAACTTGGATAATTTTTTTTTTTGTTGTTGTTCTCTTTAGAACTGGGGAAGAATCCTGGGGTAGAAAGCAACTTAATGGAACAGTGAGGACTGAAAAAAAAAAAAATTAGTTGTTAAAGATGTAATTATCTTGATTGCTTAGGATTGTGTTAAATGTGACTGTTTTTTTTTTTTTTTTTTTTTTTTTTAGTAGTGCCTCACTGTGCTTAGGATGTGCTGGGTGGCCATCACTGCTAAGTAGTCAATTAATGATATCACAAATCAATTCCAAAATAACATTTAAAAATTTAGTATTTTAATGAATACATTAATTACTTCCCTACCATCCAGTAGTCAATAGTTAATTCTTTACAAGATTTAAAGGAAATGTTTGTCTCTGAAGAAAACTGTTCTTAATTGTCTTTTAATTAGGGAAGGCACAGTATTTTACTTTCTTGTAAATTCTGAATTTTTACTGTTTCCTATGGTACTTAGTCATCTTAGGTAATTTTATTCTCTTTGGGTTTTTCAAATGAATCCTTTCCTCTCATATAAAGGATTTGTTTGGTTTAAGATGTGCTTATGGTGCAAATAACTAGGTTGTCTTCAACCTCAAATAAGAGCGAATCTGAATTTCCTGAGGGTTATGGCTGCATCTGTAGGTCCTTGTTTCTGTGATGTCTCAAAAAGCCAAGGATCGGGGCCAGTGAGCTGGGGCAGCTGGTAAAGAGTTCAATCACCAGGACCCACGTGGTAGAAGGAGAGCCAACTAAACTATGCTCCTTTAACCTTCACGTGTGCACCGTGGCTTGTGTAGGTGTGCATGTGGGGTGTGTGTGTGTGTGTGTGTGTGTGTGTGTGTGTGCTCACATTGCCCCCATATATGTTAATAAGAAAAGGCCAAGGACCTAATGAAGTTCTCTTAGGAGGAGGTTTTTAGATATCTTAAGCCAAGTACACTATCTTCTCTGCTTTTTTTTTTTTTTTCCTCACAAACTCTTGCCACTAAGCATTTCAAAAACAATTCACTGAGCCCTGGAGCATAGCACTGTTGTTGTTATTTTTATCATTTGAAGTGAAAAATGAACTTTAGGGATGAGGATATAGCTCAGTGGTAGATTGCTTACACTTACTTGAGATTTGTGACACTACGGGTATAATCCCTAGTATCTAAAAAAAAAAAAAAAAAAGGTGAACTTTCTTAGTCAAATAAGCTTGAACTATAATGTAAGATATGTGAATTTCAGTTCTGGTAATGATAGGTTAATGCCACTATTCTCAGTGTAACCGTTGTGTATAAGAAGATTTTTAGCATGTTTTCCATATGCCATGTGTGGTTTAATGCTCCTACTAATACTCAAATCAACTTTATTGTGAAGAAACCCTCCAAAATTCAGAGTATTTGTGATTACTTCTACATGCTTTTATGATTATACAGTGAAGTACAGTAGAAAGTTCAGTGATTTAATTGTGGAACCTTAATACTTTAGTACATCAAAGATTTTAACTAATTATCACTCAGTACTCTTAGGCATGTGTGTAGACATGGGTATATGATGCTTGCATGTGTGTGAACATGTGAGAGATCAGAGGTCAATGCTGGCTATCTGCTATCCCTCTCCACTTGATTTTTGAGACAGGGTCTTTTATCGAGCCTGGAGCTCACCAGTTCCACATGACTTAGCCAATAAGTCACCGGAGTTCTCCTGTCTCTGCCTCCCTGGTGCTGGGATTGTAGGCAGACGCTACTACCCCCAGCTTTTATGTGGGTGGCAGGGATCTAAGTTCAGGTCCTCAGGCTCGGGCATCGAGCACTTTATCAACTGCACCGCCTCCCCAGAGAGACTCTTGACTTCCCAAGAAACAGCTGAGTTTCAAAAGAATCAACTTTGTTTTTTTAAACATTGTAGTGAATGAGATACTATTTATGATGATATATGGATTTTAAAATACATTGTTGGGATTGGAGAGATGGCTCAGCAGTTAATGTACTCTTTTTTTTTTTTTCAAATGGAGGATCCAAGTTTGGCTCCCAGCACTCATATCAAATGGCTCTAGGGCATTTGACACCTTCTTTTAGAACCTCTGAATAGCTTTAGTCACATGTTCATAACCTCCCCCCACAAATACATAGACATAATTAAAAATAAGTCTTTAAAATATATTATTCTATATCCTTTCATATCATTAAGCTTTCTTAATATTCATAGTCATTTTAAGGCAGCTCAGTATACAATTACAAAATTTGAAGTGATGGTAATTTGTGTCTTCTTTTGCCATTTCTTTAGAGTAACAGAACTTATAGTATGAATCTTTATATATATATATATATATATATATATATATATATATAGAGAGAGAGAGAGAGAGAGAGAGAGAGAGAGAGAGAGAGAGAGAAAGAAAGGAGATTGGTTAGAATGGCTTACAGGGTGTGGTCCAGCTAATCCAACAGTGGCTGCCCATGAATGGAAGGTCCAAGAATCCAGTAGTTGTTTAGTCAATGAGACTGGATGTCTCAGCTGCATGTCTTCAGTATTTGGTATTCAGTATTCAGATTTGGGGATTCTGATGCCAGGGGGTTCATTGTCAGCATGATTAAAACAGTATAATTTGGGGAAAAAGTTTCCAGACAACCATCATTGTCATTCCAGGTTTCTAGGCAACAATCCTTCCAATTCCAGGTGCACAGTAAAGCTGAAGGTGTGACTACTTAGTCCATTACAAAGTCCATGTGGCCACGGGGCGGGCTTTCTAGCTAAATGGGCTAGAATCTAGTGTGGCCTCTGACTGAGATAGTGCAGAGGTCAGCAGGCTATAAAGTGCAGGCGATGTCTCTCTTAAGGTTGATTTTATTAACTGAGAAGGAGAGTCCGAGATAATCATTTAGGGTATTTGGGTGAGGTCTGCCTCTGTAGCAAAAGCTAGGTGAGATCTGCCTCCACAGATAGCCAAAAGGTCACCAGGTTATTAACAATATCCACTCCCAACCGTCTGAGTGGGAAAACAGGTATTTTATCTTTTCCATTGAGGAGAAGCTCCCGGTTTCCCTAGTGATCTGGGGGCAAAAAGACCTTTGTGCCCCCAACATTCTTACTATTAACTATGTAAACAAAATAATAAAATCAACCCTTTTCTCCTTTAATCTGATTATCAAAAATACAAGCAACACATCTTTGTTATAGAAAATAAATGGCAGGTTGAGGAGATAGCTCAATCAGTAAAGCATTTGGCTTGAAAGCAAGAGGGACTGAGTTCAATTCCCGGATCCCATGTAACACATAATGGAGTGTGCTTGTACATCCATGCTAGGGAGTCAGAGGCAGCAGATTGCTGGGGCTGACCAGTCAGCCGGCGTAGCCAAATCCATGAGCCCAGGCCAGTGAGAGACCCATTTCATG